CCCGCCCCCGCCAAAACCTACACTACCCCATCCCACCCCAGCCCTGTGACTCCACTGCTGAAATTTATAGTTAATTAAGTACGTGGAATAAAGAACTTGATAAGTCAATACAAAATGTACATCATTCTGTCTTATTATTTGTATTCATTAATTACAAGACAATTCATTTATGCAAAACAACTCTGTGAACAGTGTCTTACTTAAAACTTAAACGAAAAGAAAATGACTGCCTTATTTTGTCAACAAAAAAAGAAATATATGGTCACAAAGAGGTAGATAGACTTGGTATGATTTTATAATAATCACCTCAATATAAAGGATCTGGACATGCGCAAATAAAATATTAAAGAATGAGGGGGGTGTGAGTCTGAAACACTCTCTTTTAAAGTATTTATTATGTGTTCTATTGCGACAATAATCAAATATAATGTTCTAAATCTTAATGCAAAACTGAATTTATCACACCAAGAACAATACAACTTTGTTAAGATAATGATAATTCTCTCTTTTTGTCCCTTGCAGGTAATATTTTAGGTATGGTTTGTCTGAATACAACAAAGACAGAACATTTCACTTGTAGCAAATCTGACATGTATCACTGCACACGCACGTACAAAAGAAACACATTAACATCTCTCTCTCTCTCTCTCTCTCTCTCTCTCTCTCTCTCTCTCTCTCTCTCTCTCTCTCTCTCTCTCTCTCTCTCTCTCTCTCTCAGCCTTGTATGAGCTTAACATCAAATTAAACCCATTTTAAAAAGAATCAGTCGTCTTAACAGTGATAATAATACTCTTTTTTAACAGAAAATTATTTTCTAAAGGAGAGCAGCACCACCATAAGGAACTTTATTCACTTCTATGACATATAAAAATACTTGCCAATGACGACATCTTTAAAAAAAAATTAATTGTTAGACCTTCAACCTGAGAATAAAAGGACATTTATAGCTGCATATACTGCAGATATGATATTACCTTAATAAGATATCAAGTACGTGTTTAACGTAAAACATATTCAATGAGAATATTTCATATCTCCAAACTAAACAGCTAAAATCGTTTCTAAGGCAGCCCAAACTATTTACTAAATTACCTCATTGAATCGGCCATGAATATTATGATTGTAAGGTTATGAAACGATTGAAAAATAATTTCAGAAAAAAAATCGCAGAGTTAATTGTGTCAAAATAAATTTTTTATTTTTATGGATGTAGAAGAAAGAAAGATTTTTTCATTTGCGAATACAATATCCCGAACATGCCTAATATTTGCTTACTTATCGATTAACTCCTTTTTTGTCAAACATGACATAGCCATGGCGTCTTTTTCTCCTCTCTTACCGACGTTAAAGTCCATACAACTGAGACATTCTGTAAAGCAAGATGAAGATATTGTCCTTTTGCTGCTTGCTTATTAAACAGAAAGTATACTAAAATATTTTTGGACCGCTTTGTTCCATGCTGCCACCTATTGGTTTAAAGGCTACGATCCTTCATTAAACAATTCTGCACGGAAAGGTAAGCTATTCACTGTAGTTCCGTTTTAGTGATTTGTTATCATTGAACTCTAGGGCCTTTAATTTATTTTCTTCATGTATGCGTCAGTAACAAAATGTTAGCTACATGACCTCTTGAGAAGTTTGAAGTAATCGTCCTTAACACACTTTGTCATTTGATTTCTGGTTTCTGTTTATCAAAGTAATGGTAATAAAGGCCATCGTCGAAAAGCATGAACATAAACGTATTTCGGAATCATTGGTCAAATTCCGAGCGATATGTGTGTCGAGTAGAGACAATACCTTTGTATGAATATTCAACTGCTCAGTACTCATAATTGAACTACACGTATGATGACAAAAGCAACTGCTTTTGTGTCTTGTGTATTTTTTAAATATATTTCCCATAAACCAGTTCATAACTGAGAATTACTTTCTTTAAATAAAATGACCGTAAGTTCCCATTCTTGCAATTTAAAATCGGAATGGGATGCAAATAAAGTGTCAGACGTTAATGTCAAAAAACATGCAAGATAAGCCACATATGGCAAATATAGATATTGCATGTAAGTCTAAATTCTGGCAGGTGATGTAGATATTAATCTGGACAGTGTCGTCTTGCAGCAGGTGCCTGTGATAAATAACTACGCATCTCCAATAACGGCTTATCCTGAGCAGTCATTTATGATATCGTCATCCCAGCATTACTATTTGGATTATAAGGGCTAATTTTTCGCATTACGATACTTTGTAGACCTTTAACTTAAGTGGACTATAGAGAGTCTCAAGGAAATCATTTAACTACAAAATTATATTTGGTGAGTATTTCGAATATGTATCCCATAAATTTGTATGGTGATTCCTTCATGGATTGCTTAACAATTTATTCATTGCAATTTTACCTTGATCAAGAAGACCTGTCAAATGCAGGACATATAATTTAACGAGTAAGAATCAACTCGATTGTTGTTTATTTTCACTTAACGAGGACATATGGTTTGCCTAAAAGTATGGTGTTTTTTATTATTCAGAAATTTGTGGGTTTTTTTTTTTTAAAAAAACTGGAGATTATTTTGAAAATTTTTACTTCCCTATTCAAAGTTATTTTTAGATGATTTTTATATGACATACTTTATCTCGAATATAAAAAGGCAACATCAGACTTTAGACAAAATGTCTCAGAATTAACAATGCATGTTTTATGAATTTATTCTCTATGTGAATAATTACTGTAAATAAAGAAATAGCGCCACGTAAGATAGTTGTCAGGGTGACCAGTTACTTCTTAAACATTTTCATATTTCAGTCAGAATAGTTATTAGTTCTCATCGTTTTGGACTGTGATTATTCGTATATGCCATTGAAACAGGAATTAGTGATTATCGGTTTGGACAGTAATCCAGATGCATATGCCAGTGAAACAATAACAATTAGTGTTCATCCTTTTGGACTGTAATCCAATGTATATGCAGTGAAACAGAATAGCAATTATTGTTCACCGTTTTGGACTGTAATCCAATGTATATGCAGTGAAACAGAATAGCAATTATTGTTCACCGTTTTGGACTGTAATCCAATGTATATGCAGTGAAACAGAATAGCAATTATTTTGGACTGTAATTTAATGCATATGCCATTGAAACAGTAGTAATTAGTGTTTATCATTTTAGACAACAATCCCAATGTATATGCCAGTAAAATAATAAACTTGTGTTCATCATTTTAGTAAAATCATCCTATTACACTTTGAAATTCTAGTTGGTAAGAAGGTTGATTTTAGACATGCATAAAAAGTTAAATACTTACATAGTATCGTGAAATAGTACATTTATTTTAACATTACCATCTTGATCATTATTTACAAAAGTTTAGTCTTAAACATAAGAAAAGAACAATTTCCGAAATATATATATATATATATATATATATATATATATATATATATATATATATATATATATATATATATATATATATATATATATATATATATATATATATATTCATTTTGTAATAAAATATCGTAATGTATGTCAATATATGAAGTTTCTAGCCAAGAAGTTTACATAACAAGATATACATTTATAAACTATATATGTACCTTATTGCCATATATTATGTATGCAGATTATCTCTTTTATTGCCATTGACCATATATGCAGATTATCGTCATTGACCATATATGCAGATTATCGTCATAGACTATATATGCAAATTATCGTCATAGACTCTATATGTAGATTATCGTCATAGACTATATATGTAAATTATCGTCATAGATTATATATGCAGATTATCGTCATTGACTATATATGCAGATTATCGTCATAGACTATATATGTAGATTATCGTCATAGACTATATATGCAAATTATCGTCATAGACTATATATGCAAATTATCGTCATAGACTATATATCCAAATTATCGTCATAGATTATATATGAAGATTATCTTCATAGGCTATATATGCAGATTATCGCCATAAACTAAATATGCGGATTATCGCATTTACTTATAAGTGCAGATTATCGTCAATAACTATATATGCAAATAATCACTTTAGACTTTATAAGCAAATGATTAGGAGAGACTACAGACGCAAATTATCAATGTACATGCAGATTATCACGATAGATTATCTGCAGAGGTATCACTGTAAAAACAGTAAAATGTCATCCCTCAAGCACATGGAAAGACTGGCTTGTGTTCAGATTTAATTCAGTGAGGGTTACATGGAATATATTTGCATTATATTGCATATTAGATTCCTGAACGATAAGATCTACTCATATCAGGTGCAATCAATAAACGAGTCACTGGGTATGTGTGTGCTTGGGCGCTAGGAGTTTGATACTTAGATCTATTTTAAATGGATAAAGTTCAACAGCTTTATGGTGTCTTGCGTTCTCCTCACGTTAAGTAATTAACTTTTGAAGGTAGGACCAATATAGACATGGGCAGATATGGAACGTCTTAATATAAAGACAGGCGTTTACGGTAGAGAAAACGTCTTGCCATAGCTTGTTAAACTCAAATGTTGCGGAACACTCGAAAATATGTACTTTGCTTTAAAGAAAACACACACGCTCACTCACACACACACACACACACACACACACACACACACACAGAGGCTCACCCAGTCGCATTAGACAGGAAAGACGGTGATATTAAAATATTAGTCGTATGCTTTTATTAAGAATGTTAAATATTATTAAATCTTTTTACATGTAGTACTTTTATGCAAAACCCTATAAATAGCTGACTAACAGAGCAATCAGCATTATGAAAGATTGATTTTGTGATCCGCTGAGACTCTAACCAATGTTCAAGTGGCCAGCAAAAAGAAAAGGTTTGAGAATCGCGGATATAAGACATACATGAGCGGTACAGGTAACATGTTAATGCACTGCATACAGGCAAATTATTAGTCTATCAGTTTTTGGTCTATACGAGTCGTTCGTTTTAATGAGACATTTTTTTTTACCAACTAATTATTCGACCGCTCCGGTGGTCTAGTGGTTAGAGCGCCCGTCTCGGATGCGGGAGGTCGCGGGTTCGAACCAGTGTTAGGACTGGTCGGCCTGATGTCAAGAGAGTGTGACTAGGTGGAACATGATGCTACATGTCTGTGGCTTGATGTCCCAGTGCTAGACATCAGTATACACTGCCATACTGCAGACATATTGGAGATGTGACTAAAATTGATAAAAACTATTTTAAAATTAAAAATTAAAAATTCACATAAGTCAATGTACTGGTAATTATAACGGTTGAGTGCTGTTCACTGTACCTTACTGCAATAAGACTCATACTGAATGCAAAGACGTGTGAGTTCATCTTAAAACTAAACCATGTGTAATGCCTACCGCTTTTTACCTATATTTAATGTCTGGGAATAAAGCGTTACCAGTTACTGGCAGATCCAGTCAATATTTTCAACAGGGTTTCATTTCTGCTGAGATCACTTTTGACACTGAATGATATTTTCAAGAAACATTATCAACCAATCTTCAATAAAGAGAAAATGTTAATAGGTAAATTTAACCATTTTATGACGGTCAGTTTATTGGGCAAAGAGTTCTTTCACCTTTTCCCAGCATATTGAATGGACATTCAGATCGAAAGAGACACAGAGGGAAAGACATCAGTCTGGCCTCCCTATAGCAGCGGTGTCACTCTTGCGATGTACATCGCTACTATTAGCGAAGAAGTACAGCAGGGATCGAACTTGAAAAAGGAAGTCAGGAATCTAAGTCGGCAGCACAGCAATTCTTTATTAAATTAAACAACACTATACTAGATATAGAAGAACAATGCATACCACTCGTTTAAAATATATAATAAAATGTTATATTTAATTAAAGGTAACCTTCTTCACACAATTCTTTATTTTCTGTATTTTAGAATTAAAAGACAAATAAATTTTCAATAATGCAAAACGCTTAAGAGTTAAATATGACAAACTAATACCAAAGTTATTTTTAATCAAGGTATTTTATGAAATCTTCATTTTAAAGACTAAAATAGTATTACCTGTAATTTCAAAGGTATTTTGTTTCTAAATAAATTATTTTGTAGCATGAAGTTGGTAGATAAACCATTTCTACAAAAAACAACTTAATATTATAAAGTAACACGAATTCTAAATCAACTTAAACAATAAGAGACACACTATACTTAGCAATTCATATCATATAATAATAATAATAATAATAATAATAATAATAATAATAATAATAATAATAATAATAATAATAATAATAATAATAATAACATGTTACAAGTTGTTAGAGGTAGGTGAAATGATTTCTACATATATTAATTCTCAATGCATTGGACCACTGAGAAAAATCTATAACTAAAATTCAATTACATTCTTCTTACCTAGAAAAAAGGGTCAGGAATTTAAGTCGGCCGTATAGCAACTCTTGACAAATCCGTGAGTGGTGGCATATAAATAGTAGTCCCTGTTTTGGAAGACGTTAGCGTTGTCCATAAAAGGGCATAACTTATAAAACTCAGCCTCATTCGTGTATCCTTGAAACAAGCACGTCTCTTGTGTTTAACCTTATTCTCTTTCCAATGAAACTTTACCTAGTCAAGACTTGCCCATATAGATTCAATACTTCTTTTTACGCCAATGTCAAGGATGCGATGTGAATCACAGCCTTTACTGAAGATTTGTTTTACAATGATTCATCTGATGTTTTACAATGATGTTGGCGTAGAGGCATTAAGATACAGTGAATGATAGCATCTACTTTGTTTTACGAGATACAGCTATACCGCTAATAGACTTTAAAAAAGGTACATTAGTAGAATCAGTTAATACAAAAATTCTAACAAGCATTCTCTTTATTAAAATCACATAATAAAAAAAAAATCCGAAAACCATACTTTAAAAAAATCCTAAAAATGACATCGAAACATATTAAAAAGAAATTTATGTATTTCTGAGCCAGTGCATGAGACAAGGGACATATTTGCAAACAGGTCGACTAGGCCCAAGCATTGGAATATAGATTTTACGAGGCGGCGAAATTCTCAATGTCAATAATTTATATTACTTGAGTTTAATTTTCACACGCTGTAGGTTGCATAAAATTGGAACTGAAACCAACAGATTTAGTTGACTGAAGACAAGAAACAGAATTTAGTTATCAAATTAGTTCTTTCTCGACTTGAAGCATAATACGTATGTGGTTTTGTATTTATTCATATCTCGTTTTTATTTACATATTTCTTTAAAAAAAAACGTAACGTAGACTTGAAATAAAATTCATTTTGTATTTGACAATTTATGAAAGATAGTGTACAACCATCAACATGTACATGCATTTAACTATTGTCTGTATTCGGATATAGATCTACTCTTTATCTATGAATTTGTAAAAATGTTATATGAGACATGAATGGATTTGATCTGTTGTACGAAATATATGAATGGATTTGATCTGTTGTATGGGACCTATGAATGGATTTAATCCGTTTATTGAGAAATGAATGGATTTGATCACGTTGTGTGAGACATATGAATGGATTTAATCCGTTGTATGAGACATGAATGAATTTGATCGGTTGTGTGAAACATATGAATGGATTTGATCGGTTGTATGAGACATGAATGGATTTTATCGGTTGTATGAGACATACGAACGGATTTGATCTATTGTATGGGACATATGAATGGATTTGATCTGTTGCATGTGATGCATGAATGAATTTGATTTGTTGTATGGGACATATCAATGGATTTGATCTGTTGTATGGGACATATGAATGGATTTGATTTGTTGTATGAGAAGTACGAACGGATTAGAAATTTGATCTATTGTTTGGGACATATTTAAAGATTTGGTCTGTTGTATAGGAATTTATGAATGTATTCAATCTGTTGTATGAATGGATTTGATGTATGAATTTGATTTGCTGTATGGGACATATGAATGGATTTTATCGGTTGTGTGAGACATACGAACGGATTTGATCTATTGTATGGGACGTATGAATGGATTTGATCTGTTGTATGAGACATACGAATGGATATGATCTATTGTGTTGGACTTATGAATGGATTTGATCTGTTTTATGAGACATAAGAATATATTTGATCTGTTGTATGGGACGCATGAATGGATTTGATCTGTTGTATGGGACATATGAAAGGATTTTATCTGTTGTATGAGACATATGAATGGATTTCATCTGTTGTATGGGACATATGAATGGATTTGATTTGTTTTATGAGACATTTGAATGGATATGTTGCATGAGATATATAAATGGATTAGAAATTTGATCTATTATTTGGGACATATGTATAGATTTGGTCTGTTGTATGGGAATATATGAATGTATTTGATCTGTCGTATGAGACGTATGAATGGATTTGATGTATGGGACATATGAATGTATTTGATCTGTTGTATGGGGCTTATGAACGGATTTGATTTTTTGTATGGGACATATGAATGGATTTGATCTGTTTCATGGAACATATGAATGGTTTTGATCTGTGGTATGGGACATATGAATGATTTTGATCTGTGGTATTGGTCATACGATGGAGTTTATCTTGTAGTCTCAGCCAAGTGGATTTCTCCTTACATCTTAAATGGAACATCTGTTTTGGACCAGTAAGTTGTTTGTTTTTCTTACACTCTATTTACTGATTATGTTCTATATTTCCAAGCAAATTTCAAAGCAAATTTTATAGACTAACGGTAGCTAAATACATCAAAGTTTATAAAGAAAGCTGATTCATATATAGTATATTCAAACTTTCTATTTTTTTGTTTTCATTTACTGCAAGAAATTACTAATGAATTGAACTTGACGTGATAATTTGAGAATAGAATAAAGAAATAAAAAATTCGGTCTTTTTCTTACATACGGACTAGATTGTTGATATTCATTTGTATATATTTTAACAAGAAAATTTAAATAATATTGCAATATTAATCTGTTTTCTTCTCCTTCCTTAATACTTGAACAATCAGAATAATTAAAATATAAACAAACATTACCCTCATTGTCTCCCAGTGATTTCACTAACACGGTACTTACATAATTGATATAGATCTTATACTATTTTAGATCGCAAACAAAAATAGCTACTGCTCTCTGTGATATGTTGATGTTGCAAATGTATTGTCAGTTTTATTCTCACATTGACTAAACAAATTTGATTCATCGGTAATTTAATAAACAAATTCTAAGTCCTTCCACTTTAACTTATTCCGAAAGAAATATAATAGATCAAATCTTTAAAACATTGATGCTTCGATAAATTTTAGCTGTTTGGTATTTTAGATAAGGAATGTCTCCTGGGAATTATAAATGGGATAAAGTTTTGTCCAAGCGTGGCCATTTTTTTTATCATGCCCAGAATCTTGACATGATTTCATGAATCTTTCTTACTTTATCTGGATTTTTAAAAATTTAAATAGAATACTCTCTCTCTCTCTCTCTCTCTCTCTCTCTCTCTCTCTCTCTCTCTCTCTCTCTCTCTCTCTCTCTCTCTCTCTCTCTCTCTCTCTCTCTCTCTCTCTCGTGATATGCAACTAAACTTCTTTTCACCGCCTTGGGTACTATCTTGTTATCCATGGGTAATATTTTGAATAATTTTTTGTTATCCATGGGATCATTTTTTGAATAATTTAAACTGCATACCATTAAATCATATCCGTTATTTTATAGGTAGACGGTTATCTACTATTTTTGCTTGTAAATGTAGCTCCAGGCTGTGTGTGTGCCATAAGGAACTTTTAGGTGTGCGATACGGAATTATAGATTGAACATCTTTACCGAAAGAAAGATCAGCCAAATAAAATACAAGTGATCAGGAAACCAATGACATGACTAGCATTATACTTCATAGATTGGGTTGCCATAGGTGATTTTTAGAGTGACAATAATAGACGGGCTTGCTACATGTGTGTATTACGTTACCATGGACACAGTTGCTAATGTGTGTATTATGACTACTATCGATATGGTTGCACATGTGTGTGGTATGATTACCATAGGCAGGGTTGCAAAATGTGCGTAGCATGAATACCTTGGACAGGGTTG